TGTACCTGCTGCCCCACACATGCACAGCCTCCCCAGCTGACAGTATCCTGTACACCCAAGTGGTACATTTGTTAACAGTTGATGAACCTACATTGACACATCTTTATCACCCACAGTTTATAGTTTACATTAAGGTTCACTCTCGGTGTTACGTATTATATAGATATTGACAAACGTATAATGACATGTGTCCACCATTGTAGTATCATACAGAATAGTTTTACTGCCCTAAAAATCCTTCATGCTCCACTTACTCATCCCTACCTCCCCACTAATTCCTGGAAACTACTGACCTTTTCACTGTCTCCATGTTTTTGCCTTTTTCAGAATGTCACGTAGTTGTAGTCATACAGTATGTGGCCTTTTCAAACTGGTTTCTTTCACTTGGTAATACTTATTTAAGTTTCCTCCATGTCTTTTTATAGCTTTATCAGACTCATTTCTTTTTAGTGCTAAATAATATTCCGTTGTCTGGATATGCCACAGTTTATCCATTCACCTGCTGAAGGGCATCTTGGTTGCTTCCAAGTTTTGGCAATTATGAATAAAACTGCTGTAAATATCTGTGTACTTATTTTTATACGTTATAATCTTACCACAGGAAATACAGTGCAGCTGGGTCTTCTGGTTTCTAATTTCACTAATCTGGTGAAAAATTACTTAATATTGAGGTCTTATATACAAAAGTTACTTTCAGCATGAGATCAGAGTTCTGAAGCCTAAATCAATTTCCTTGGAATATCTTTCAGATGGGTTTTACAGGCAAGTGAATCAAATCAGTGGAGCTCATAATACCTCAGACAAGCAAACCCCTTCAAAACCCAAGAAGAAACAGAATTCAAAAGGACTTGCTCCTTCTGTGGTAAGGTTCTACAGATATAGAATATCATTTTAGGGAATTTGTTGACCATAAAATGGGAGCTATTGATTAGGTGAATGAGAATTTTCATTTACTTTGGATCAGTGGTTTATTGCTTTCTCAGTACCTACAGCAGTGGTTCTCAAACTCCAGTGTGCTTTGGTGTTACCTGGGGAGCATGTTAAAAATTCAGCTTCCTGAGTCTCAAGTCTCATCCGTAGAGATAGTGAATGGTATGTTGGGTTCTGGATTCTGTTATATTGCTTAGAAAAGAGTTAATGCTTCTGTTTTAACAGGCAGTTAACTCCTTTAGACTCAATT